ATTTTGATTTTTGCTACCGCTGCTGGCTGAAGAGAGCTTCTCACAGGAATACCGGGGGAGTCGGCAGGCGTTGTAGAGCCCACCGTAGGCTCCCTGCCCACATGTGGTGAAAGGAATAGGTATCACAAAAGAAAGGCCCAGGGATGCAGATCTCCCAGGAGGGTGGGGCCGGCCTTGGGGAGATAAGGAGGGAGATAGTTTTGAAATTGCCACCTTGTCCAGGCTTCTATTTGTTAGATAACTTTGCCTTCCTGCCCTTTCAAATCCACAACCGCAGCTGGCTCATCTTTGACCAAGTACACGATCTGTGATCTGTCCCTTGTCCCCTTTCCGTTCATAGACGGTGCATGCTCTCCACAGTCTGCCTGCTTTCTTTCCTTTTTTTAATCTTCCTATGCTGGGCAGAGCTAGGTCCTACGGTCGGCTGGACCCTTGGGGAATCTTCACAGTGCGAGAAGGAGACCTCCAAGCTGCTCTTCCTTTCCAAAGGTGCCCAGGACACGTGTCATCCGGCCATACCTTAGATCTGCCTCCATGGCTACCTGGGGTGGGGGTGGGGAGGGTCTAGTGGGGGAGGGGGAGTCAGGGAGATGCTGGGGGAGGTGTGGGCAGGGGGGAGGGGAGGGGCTGAGCCAGTGCTCAGGAATTAGGCCCAAGTCCTGGGTTTGCTTTTCTCTGAAGGAGCCCTGGTGTGGTGCCCTGGATTAAGCGCTGGGCTGCTGACTGAAAGGCTGGCACCCAGACTCACCGGCAGCTCTTCGGAGCAAAGTGGAGATCGTCTGCTCTGTAAAGAGTTGCAGTCTCTGAAGCCTCAGGGAGAGTCCTGGGGGCTCACCCCAGTCTGAAACCATTCAGACAGCAGTGGGTTTGTTCTTTTGGGGCGGGGGGTGTTCTTATATAGAATGGGAACCCTGGGGTCACCGTGAGTTACACGTCAGACTGCTAACAGAAAGTCAGCGTTTTGGATTCACCAGCTGTCCTGTGGGGGTGGGAAGATAAGGCTCTTTCTAGCCCCTGAAGAGGGACTGTCTTGGAAACCCCCTGGGGTAGTTCTGTCCTGCCCTATAGAGTCAACCATGAACCCTAACTGACTCGATGGCACTGCATTTTCTCCGCTGTGGTAAGGTTTTATTTACCTAAATTTATTTATTTGACAAGTTTGTTCACCATTTATGCAGCAAGTCCTGAGCGGCAGCATCGCTAACCAGCTTATGAGGTTTTTCACCAGCAAGGTCTTAAAACATTCCATGTTTTACCACCTTTTACGTAACACAGTTTTTAACTTTCTGTAAAATAATTT